CACCATAATTTACCCCAGTATTCTTTCCTTTTCTCCTTCCAGAAAGCCATTCTGTATAATAGAGTATTTTTATTTATTTATTTTTTTTGGGAGTGAGGCAGTCAGGGTTAAGTGACTTGCACAAGGTCACACAGCTAGTAAAAGTTAAGTGTCTCAGGCCATATTTGAACGCAGGTCCTCCTGACTCCAAGGCCAGAGCTCTATCCACTGTGCCACCTAGCTGCTCCTTAACATAGTATTTTTTTAAAAAAAGAAAGAAAAGGGGAAAAAATCAGCATAATGAACAATGCATTAAAAAAAAACTAAAAATATGTTCAATGCACTACATTTGTGGAATTCTCACTTTGGCAGAGGGTTATATAACACTTTAAGAATTTTAGGGCACTTTATTTAAAATACCTCATTTAATCCTTACAACATCCTTGGGAGATAGGGGCTATTATTAGACATTTTACAGATTAGGAAACTGAGATAGAAAGAGGTTAAGTTTCTTGGTTGAAGTCACACAGCTAGTCAGTGAGGCAGAATTTTATTCAGGATTTTTCAACTCCCAAGCTCAACTCTGTATCCACAGTTTCATCTAACTGCACATATGTGACTTTTCCTAGAATTTTGCACATTTTGTTAATAATAAAAGCTGGCATTTATATAGATCTTTAAGTTTCATGAAGTACTTTTCCAGATATCTTATTTTATCCTCACAACAACCCTGGGAGGTATTATTTTTATTGTACAGATGAGGAAACTGAGACTAATGGAAGTTTAAGTATGTTCCTTAGAGTCACATAGCTAGTCAAAATTTCAGGTCTTCCAGCTCCTGGTCCAGTGTTCTTTGATACCTAGCTGCATCTAGGTAGTCATTGTGTCATTGTATATCTTGTTTTTTTGGTTCTGCTTACTCCACTATGTATCAGTTCATATAGATCTCTCCTTGCTTTTCTGGTTTCATAACTTTCTTAATTTATTATAACTGAGTGATATTCCATTACATTCATGTACCACAATTTGTTACTGATAGACATCTACTCTGTATCCACTTCTTTGATATCACCAAAAAAACCCCAAAAAATCCTGCTGCTATAAACAAAAAAGTTAGAGAAATAGTAATTTTATTTTTATAAATGGCTTCCTTGGGATATAGACCTAATAATAATGGAATCTGTGGGTCAAGATGTATCTACGTTCTAGCCACCATAGTTGCATAATTCTGATTTGTTTTCCAAAATGATTGTACTGATTTAAACAGAGCCACCAACAATGTGCTGGTGTTCTTCTCTTCCCACAATCCTTCCAACATTGACTGTTCTCATTCATTGTCATTTTTGCCAACTTTCAGAGTGTGAGTTAAAATCCCAAGATTGTTTTTATTTGCATTTCTCTTACTAATTGTGATGTGGAGCATTCTTTCATGTGATTGTGAATCCTTTAAATTCTTTTGAGAACCATTTCTGTCCTTTGGCCAATTAGCTATTAAAGAGTGGCTTTTGGTCTTCTATGTAGTTATTTTTTATAAATCTTGGATTCTCAACCCTTATGAGAGAAATTTTATTGAAAGTTTTTTTTCCTGCCATTCGGTTGTTTTCCTTTTTATCCTAGATGTATTAATTTTGTTTATGTAGAAGCTTTTAAGATTCATATAAAGTTATTTATTTTCTTGTTTTGTAATTACTTCTATATCTTGTTTGGTTAAGAATGTATCTCCTACCCATAGCTGTGAAAGGTTAAATGCTTTTCTTCTCATTAAAAAAAATAGTATAATCGTTAAAATTAAGAACATGTATTATGGAATATGATTGAAGGTGTTAGTCTAAATCCAATTTCTGCTTGACAGTTTTCCTAGCATTTTTTTTTAAACATGGAGTTCTTTCTTAAGCAATTTGTATTTTCTGGTTTATTGAAAAATGGGTTAAAGTACTGTTGTTTCTGATTCTTCCTCATCCAGTCTGTTCCATTGATGTTACCTTTCTATTTGCTTTAAACCAATAACAGATGGTTTTGATGACTGCTGTTTTAATTTATAGTTTGAGGTCTGGAAGTGCTATTTACCTTTTGTCCTTACCATTTGGCATCATTTCCCTTGATATTCTATTTTTTTATATGAATTTTCTTATTTTTTTTTAATCAAGTTCTGTAAAGTATCCCATTGGTAATTTTATTGGCAGAGCATTAAAATTATAAATTAACTTTGATTACATTGTCATTTTTATTATATTGGTGTGGTCCAGCCAGGAATATTAAATATTACTCCAGCTTTTTAAGTTACTCTTGTATTTCTTTAAGAATTATTTTGTAAATGAATCTATTCAAGTATTTTCTACGCTTTGGTAAATTGAGCCAAGATATTTTATGTACTTTATAGTTATTTGGAATGGTTTTTACCTTTCTATTGTTACCTTTTGGATTTTGTCATCATTATATAGAACAATTGATTTTGGAGTATTCATTTTGTAGCCTACAACTTTGTTAAAAGTATTCATTGTCTCAATTAGTATCTTTTCAGATTCTGAAACATTTTCTAAGTAAAGTGTCATGTCATCAGCAAATAAGGATAGTTTTATCTCCTCTTGACCTATTTTCATGCCTTTAATTTCTTTCTCCTGTCTTATTGCTATAGCTAGCATTTCTGTAATTCTATCAAATAATAGTGGGAAGAGTGGGCATCCTTTCTGTACTCCTGTACTTACTGTCAAATGTTGTAGTTGCATATATTTGTTGTTAGTTGTAGGGAGAGGAGATGCTGAGTGAACAAATTAGGGGTTCGGGATCATTAGTCTTCATATTTGTAGTTCATATGGTTTTTACCTCATTTGGATTTTTGGTGTCCTGGACTGGAGACAGCTGAAATTGCTTTCTGTCTTGCATATAATTCTTATTTTGGAAAGGAGAGAGCATAACAAGTCCTTAACTTCCATTTTAAGGAGGGGCATGTCTTCTCACCCATGTTTTCATTCCTTTCTAAGCAACACTTTTACTATGTGCAAGTCATTGTGCTTAGTAATCAGGATACAAAAATTGCAGTAGAGTCACTGATTTCATATTCTAATGGGATTGACAATATACAAATAACTATGTATGTGTATAGATATATACAATCTAAATGGAGGGCAATTTTAAAGGGAAGGGATTAGCTGTCACATTGGATGAAGGGGGAAGAGATGGAACAGTAACCAGAAGCATCCTCCTTCAGAAGATGGAAAGTACAATTTGAGTTGAGTCACTGAACAATCTAAGGAAACTGGGAGGCAGTGTTGAGAAGGGAGAACTTCCAGGCGTAGATGGTTGCCAGTGCAAATGCATTGTCAGCAGATGGAATATCACGTCTGAGAAATAGCAAGTAGCCCAGTGGAGCTGAATTGTAGAAGTTGAAGAGGGAGATAAAATGTAAGAAGACTGCAAAGATTTTAAGGGGCGAGGTTGTGAAGGCCTTTAAATACCAAAAAGGATTTTATATTTGATCCTCGATAAAATGAGGAGCCACTGGAATTTATTGAGTAGAGGGGTACGTGTTGAGACTTATATTTGAAAAAAAAAATCACTTTGGCCTGAGTGGAGGATATATTGGAGTGGGAGGAAAGACTTGAAGCACAGAGACCAACAAGAGAACCGTTGCCTGAACCAAGGTAATGCCTGTGTGGGTGGAAAGAAGGGAATTTATATGAGAGATGCTTCAAGGATAGAAACACCAAGTTTTGGCCACAGATCAGATATGTGAGGTGAGTTAAAGTGAGGAGTTGAGGATGACACTGAGGTTGTGGGCCTGGGTTGAAGGTGGTATCCTTGTGGTTTTGGGGAAAAGATAATGAGTTCTGTTTTGAACAAGTTGAGTTAGGGATGCCTATAATAATCCAGTTGAAGAATTCTAAGAGGAAGTTGGTGATGCATGACCAGTTCAGGAGAGAGATTAATGCTAGATACAGAGATCTCGGAAACATCTGCATAGAGATGATAGTTGAACCCATGGTAGCTGATCCAATTACCAAGAAAGATACTACTTGAAGAAGAGAGGAGGCCCAACAAAAAGTCTTAGAGGATGCCAACAGTTAATGAGCATAACCTGATGAAAATCAATTGAAAGAACCTGGAGGTGGTCGGTCAGGTAGGGTCAGAACCAGGAGAGAGCAGTGTAACAAGAACCTAGGAAAGAGATTATTCTAGAGGAGAAGGTAATCAGCAGTGTCAGAGATTACAAGAGAAGTCAGGAAGAATAAAGACTGAGCAAAGGCCATTAGATTTATTCCTTTCCTCTGTTGAGCTCTAGTGGTACCCTATTACCTCCAGGAGGAGCAAATATAAACTTCTCTATTTGACATTTAAAGCTCTTCATATCCTGACCCCTTCTCAAATAACAAACAAGCAGTTATTAAATCCTTCCTTACTATACACTGAGTTAGAACAGTTCCTAAACTGTTCTAAGTGCTAGGGATACAAAGTAGAAAGGCAAAAGCAAAGATACATACTGTGACCTCAAGAAAGTCACTCTCATACCCTCCATGTATGTTATGATCCATTTACACTGGCCTACTTGATATTTCTTGAACATTACATAGTCTCTGCCTTCTGTACTAGCCCTTCCTAGTCACCCCAATTGCTAATGTCATCCCCTCTCAGATTACCTCCTATCTACTCTGTGTGTGTGTGTGTGTGTGTGTGTGTGTGTGTGTGTGTGTGTGTGTAGTATTTATATGTTGTCTTACACGTTAGAATTTGAGCTCCCTTAGAGCAGGATCTGTTTTTGCCTTTGTTTCTCCAGTACTTAGCACATAGTAAACTCTTAATAAATCCTTGTTTACTGAATACTATTAAATCACTATTTACTAATTACTCTTGAATAAATTCCATAACATTAAATGTGCCAAAATACAAAGAAAATCTGATTTTTTTTCTATTGTTCAGTCCAGTATAGAATAGCCTGCATTTTGGAGGACCCAGGATAGACTGGTTCTTTTAATTTTGTTTTATTGATTATGCTCAAGTATTTTTTCTTTTTTCTGAATTTTTAGGGGAGAGCTCTACTACATTGGGCATGTGACCGAGGACATAAGGACCTAGTAACAGTTCTACTACAATATACAGCTGACATTAACTGTCAGGTAAGGAAGGATGAAATGGGGGTATTTGGGTAAATTTTATGTGGTTCTGTTTTGTGTTCTCAGTTGTTTTGGCAAATAACCTTTTTCCCTTTGTACCATTTCACCTGAAAAAGTTAATTTATTAGTTAGTACTATCATGTCCCTAGAGTTATACTGGGGCAAAATTTTACTTTTGGTTTATCTTCCCTCATGCCCACTTTTATTCCATACTTGTCCTTTCTCTTCATTTGGAAGGATGCTTATCAATATATTCATGATGTTGAGAGCTAGAAAGGACCATAGAGATTATATAGTTCCGTCTCCTAAATAGTGTAATTGAATTAATAGAGAAAACATTTAGTAATGGATAAAAGATCATTAGTCAGCTATAGCTTTAGCAAATAATTATAGTTGTGAGCTTAATTTAATTAGATGAAGTTACTAGATATAGTTCTGTTCAAAAGTTGAAATTATTTAGTATCTACTATATTCTAGGCTTTGGAGATATGAAGACATAAACTAAACATTTCTTTCACTTAAGGAGCTCAAAATATTCAGATTTCAAAACTTATGTATATTGAACTTAAATTTGGCTGGGAATAAATGTAAATTTTTATACTTGGGATACAATACTCAGTAATGCAAATCCAAGAGGGATGAAGCATGATTAAATAATTGTGTGAAAAAGACCTGGGAGTCGTAGAAGACCACAACCTGTATAGGAGTCAACAGTTTAATAGAGTTGGCAAAAATACCAACATTGATCTTAACCTGTGTGAATAGAGGAGTGCTACCTTGAATGAAAATAATGGTCCCACTGTGTTCTGTACTTGTCAGATGATATCTAAAGTATTTTCAATTTTAGGAAGAGGAAGCTAACCAGGATTGTGTTATGGCTAGAAATCATGGTATAGGATGATTTGTAGAAGGAACTGGCAACATTTTTTCTGGAAAAGTAAAGGCTTGGGAAGAGAAGAGGTTATGAGAGGGAAAAACGATAACTATTTGAGGGGCTATAATGTGATGTTCAGTTCCATTCAACAAACATTAAGCACTCAATAGGTATAACACTAGGATATCTAGGTGGTGCAGTGGCTAGAGTGCCAGGCCTGGAGTCAGGAGGACTTACCTTCCTGAGTTCATACCTGGCTTCACACAGTTATTAGCTGTATGACCCTGGGCAAGTAAGTCATTTAACTCTGTTTGCCTCAGTTTCCTCATCTGTAATATAAGTTGGAGAAAGAAATGGCAAACCACTTCAATATCTCTGCTAAGAAAAACCCAAATAGAGGTCAGGAAGAGTTGCACATGACTGAAAAACAGCTGAATAACAACAGTTGGGAAGGTGCAACTCTCATGTACTTCTCCCCAAGTCTTCTCTAGGACAGATGTCACTAGTGCCTGCATTGGATCCTTAGAGGAAGTGGGAGCCTTTCGCCATCCTGGTTGTCTCTGGAACTCTCTCCAACTTAGTAAAGGCTTTTCTAAAATGTGGTGCCCAGAATTGACGTGGTCTGGCGAAGGCAGCGTATGTTAGGACTCTTGCCTCTCCAGTCGTGGACACTACACCTCTCTTTATTTATACTAAGATTTTGTTATCTTTTTTGATGATAAAAATCTCAAAGTTTCCTAAAAAGGTGGAATAGACTGCTTTAGAAGTAGTCAGCTCCTAAATATTGGGTGCCTTTAAAGGGTGGTTAAATAGCTTCTTTTTAGAGATATTTTGGCATTCCTGCTGAAATATGACTAGAATCTAGTCTTAATAAAATGATTTATTCCGTGAAGTTTGGATTCAGTCACAGGGTCACACTTGAAGATCTAACGTCCTTTCTAAAACTGAAATTCTTTGATTTTTCCATTGTGCAGAAGAGAAACAAACAAGGAAGGAAGGAAATAAGCAGCCCCTGCCTTTGAGAAGCTTCCATTCTAATGGGAGAAGTTAAAACACAAAAGGTTGCTGAAAAGCAGGAAGGGTAGGGGATTGAAGGTGTCCTACCCAGGGCCATGGTTTTGATGTCCAGACAAAGTCTAGAACAGTGCCCAGAGAGGAATGAAAGTAAGCAGATTGGGCTACTCACTAATGGGAGAAGGGTAGTGAACCTTGTGAAGAGGCCTCTAGTATTGAGGAACATTCCAGAATGAGCCTATGGTAGAAGTTGCATGGTGGTTTGTTTGTTTTGTTTTAGGGGCATGGTTTTGAAGTCCAGAGAAAGTCAGGATCGGGGCCAGGAGGCCCTGAATGAATTGAAAATCAAAAATATGACATAACTTTTGTCCCTCAGGGATCCTACAGGGTACTGTGGGAGGCAGGACAAATAAATATTGAAGATTCAGAGAATGCATTAAAAAACCTTAGATGGACACAAACTAATACATTCATTCAGCAAAACGTTTATTAGGTGCCTACTATGTACTAGGCACTATGCTAAGCACTGGGGCTACAAATATAGTGAAGACAAATGACGTGAATGAAACTATCCCTACTTGTAAGGAGCATGCGCTCTGAGAAGCAGGAGTACCTTCTGTGTCTTCTCTTCTTGATGTTAGCTTTTCCTTCTTGTTCTAATATTCTTAGACTTTCCTAAATTTCTTGTCTCTTAATTTTGTATTAACTATTACTTGAGGGTTGAAATTGGCCAAGGAAATCAAGTAACCAAGCCTTTTAATTACCAGTTTTACACATAATATTAAATTGCTAGAATTAGTGACGATAATGGTACTCCCTTTTGATTAAGTGGCCTGGCTTTGTGACACCTACTTCCTTGCCTTCTCAGAGGCTTTGTTTTATATAGTTGAAGTAATTGGAAGTCTGACAACTGGATTAGTAGTGTTGTAAAGTATTATAAAGGCAAATACAGGTGACTTTTAATCATCCATTTTTCTAAATATGTCTGCTTTGGAACCAGTCTGGCTCATTAAACTTTAACAATATTGTTTCAATTGTTTTGTTGTTCTTTCAGGTAATATTGTTGTAATATTGTGTGTGTGTGTGTGTGTGTGTGTGTGTGTGTGTGTGTGTGTGTGTAGTAGTTCTTACCTTATTGTGCATCAGTTCATATATCACTCTCTTTTCCCTTATCTGTCCCCTAGTCATAGCTGTGAGAGGTACCTTATCTGGTTCTCTTCTAATCTTTTCATAGTCTGACTTTTTTTCCCACACTTTCCACACTTATTTTTTCCAATTATACGTAAAGATAGTTTTCAACATTAACTTTTATAAGATTTTGAGTTCCAAATTTTTTTCTCCCTTCCCGCCCCTCTTCCCAAGATGGTGAGCAATCTGAGATAGGCTATACATATACAATTATATGAAACACATTTCCACGTTAGGCATGTTGTGAAAGAAGAATAAGAACAAAAGGGAAAAGTCATGAGAAAGAAAACAACAAAGGGAGAAAATAGTATGTGTAGTCTGACTTTTAATATTAAGCTCACAGATCCACCTTGAGCTGCTTGTGAAATATTCTACACCTGATTTTGTTGTTGTGGCCAAACTGCAGTCCAGTTTTTCCAGCAATTGTTTTCAAATTGACAGTTCTCAGAACCAAAGTAAAATTTGTGTTTTCAGGTGTATTGAGTTACTGAATTCAATTTTAAAAAATTATTTCCTGTCAGTTCTACTAATCACAATTTTTTGGTAAATATCACAATAGTTTATTTGCTAGAATTTTAGAATAGATATTCATTAATTATATTGGTCAATAGCTCTCTTTCTTTGGTATTGTCTTTCCCTGATTTTAGGCCTTATTATTTATCCTAAGGAATTTGATGGTGTTTTATTTTTTACTTCTTTTGGAAGAATTTGTGTAGTGCAGATATTGATTGTTCTTTAAAAATTTTATGTAACTCTTATCATTTGGACCAGAGATTTTTTTTTGTAATTCTTTTATAACTTTTTTAGTTTCCTTTTCTGAAATTGGATTCAGATGTTTATTTTAATTTAGCCAATTTATATTTTTGTAGTTAGTCTACTGCTTATTAGGAATAGACAGTTTTGCTATTGTGTATATATTCACACATACCTACATTTATCATATATATTAAACATACCATGTACACATGTAACTGACAATTTTTATGGCTTCTTTGTTGTGATTTCTCATTATTCAATTTTTATTTTGTCCCTTGTAGTTAAGATAGCTTAAAGATTTATTGATTTCAGTAGTCTTCTCAGAGAACCGGTTTTTAGTTATGTTTTTCAGTAGTATTTTTTTTTGTTTGTTTTCCCATTTGCTCATTTCTCTTATTTTCAAATTTTCCCAATTTATTCTTATTTTAGACTTGTTTTATTGCTTTTTTAATTTTCAGATGCATATTCTATTTATTAATCCTCTTCTTTTCTCTTTTGTTAATGTATATTTTAAATCCTAACAACATTTGCTCTCCTCTGAGGATTGCTTTATTTGTATCCCAGAAATTTTGGTATGTTATCATTGTTCTTTTTCACACAACTGTTATTGCTTCTAATGCTTTGTTCTTTGATCATTATTCAGAATGTCATTATTAAGATTCAACTTAGAAGTGTATCTTTTTCATGATCCCTTTATTGATTGCTATTTTTTTGTTGTTATGTTATAGTCTTTAAAAAATGTGTTTAATATATGTTTTCTTTAGTTTGGATTTTCTTATTGTTCCATGCTCTCTTATTTTCATGAGGCAGTATTGGTTCACTTTTTCTCCATATTATAATCTTTTAAAAAAAAACCTTGCATTCTCTTTGAGGTATTTATTAATCAGTCTTCTGGTTTTTAGGATCTTTTCTGTTGCTTCAGCAGATTTCAGTACTGGGTTTTTATTGAGGCTTTTTCTCTTGATATCTTTGCTATTTCAGCTCCCCTCCCCCCTTTTTAAAAATTCTCCCATCACTCTCTAGTTTCTCCTCCCTTAGTTAGCAGTTTCTCTCTCTCCCTAGATAGTAGTTTCCAGGACTTGGCTATGAGATTGCCATATCCCCTTGAAGGGAGCACAGGGTTTATCGCTATGGGTCTCTGTTCTGAGTAACCTCTGAGAGAAGGGCCCTC